CTTCCTTCCTTCCTTCCTTCCTTCCTTCCTTCCTTCCTTCCCCACACTTCTCGACTCACTCTCAACACCTCTCTGTACATTCCTTGTTCCAAGCTTCCGAGCCTCTCCTCTGCCCTTTAGAACTTGAGAGCGATCATCTACAAAATCCCTGATGGCCTCCACCTTCACTGAGCCTTTCCTTCACCTTGTTATTCTGATGGAAGCCTGGCTGGGTTCGAAAGCTGGAGTCCTGTCCAATGGTGACCCCCACATGCCGCTGAGCCTCCTTCTTCTCATTGCCAATTCCCAAACGTTTCTCCCCTCCACACTGCCCAAAGCCCTCTCCTTCAACGTCCTGATGCCTCCTGGTGACCCTACTGCATTCGTTCACGATGTGACGCCTGCGTCCATCCCTTCCTCTCCACCACTCCTGTCTTTATTCTTTGTGACTTGAATACCCTCATGGACCTCCCTCTGATCTCCTAACCTCCCTGTTGGTAATGATCACAGTCTCTACCTGATTTTCCTTATTGCCTCTCCTCGTCATTCTCTGAAATTGTCATTACCCATAATATTCCTAACTGAAACCTTGATATCAACATTCCTATTTTCTGACCGCCACCTCCTTATTTTTCCCAGTTCACTCACTCTCCTGCAAGCCACTTGTAACAGACCTTGGACTCTGCCTCATTGTCCCCATCTACTGTTTCCCAGACTCAACCCCTCCTCCTGTGCCCTCTTTTCCGCCATTGTCCTCACCTGGCGGCTAATCCAACAGAACCTGCCTGTGGTAGCTAAACCTGGAGAGCAAGACCGGAGAGCAAGGTGTGTGACTTACTAAGGTATGTATTTAACATCGGAGTCCATATATCAGGCCATTAATGTTTTTTTAAAAAAGACAGACTGGGAAAGGGGGAGGGAGAGGAGCAGTTCTGATAAAACTCACCATCCTCTGCTCAAACACTCTGTACCTCTCCACCCGGTGTTTGCTTAGCTTCCCCGTCCTTTCTGATTCATCTTTCCTCTGCTGGTCCGTTTGCTCTTCATGTTCTTTTGTTTAGTTTAGTTACAGTTTACTAGAATGTGAAGTCCATGAAAGCAGGGGTACTGTTTGCTCTGCCACTACTGTATCCTTATGAACAGAACCCCGATCCACTCGGGGCGACAACGTATTAGGTTGACTATTGAACAAAATATTCAAACTCCTACCTTTTCAGTGAGATGTATGTGGAAGTCACATCCTGGAACCTCTTGGAAAGCTCTTTCAAAGGGGATAACGTCCACGGCTTTGTCTTCTTGCCCTTCACTTTCCCTTCGTTTTCCTGCCTGAAATACAGACGCAAGGGTTGAAGCTGGAGCAGCCACCTTAGGATCCTGAGGCTTAGCCACAAGCTAAGGAGGGCAGGACCGGGAGCTAGCATCAATCTTGGCCCTCGCTCGAAGTTTACTTCAAGTCACTGATCCCACCTTGACCTGCATGCCATGGGGACCGCATTAGTAATGCCCCTGACAGGACTTCTGTTACATGGGGCCAAATGGAAGGGAGGACCCAAATGGAGGAGAGGGATTGGCATCGTAGACTTGACCAAAGGCTCGTCACCCCCCTCCCCCATTCTGATACCCCCTCCAGAAAAGGAACTGCTCTTCCTCTCACCTGGGTGAGAATCACCATCACCCAGTGAGTCACTATTACCACTGGGAATAATGCTATTTGAAGCTCTAGTTCCAATTGTTATCATTTATTAGTTTGGTGTTGATTTACTGAGTCCCTACTATCTACTGGTTGCTATGTTACCTGCTGAAGCTCTAATGGTGAACAAGACACATCCCTGACCCTCCTAGAGTTAGCAACTAGTAACTGCTTACCAGTGAGCCCTACTTTGAGCCCTCGAAAGAACACAGAGCAGCAAGTATATTCCTTCTTCTGCACACCGGTCATTCAGTTATCACGTGGCTTTAAAGGTGTCTCTTATCCAAGCAAAATGTCCTGTTCCTTCAGCAATTCCGACTCAGTCAGGGATTTTGGAGCTGTTGACCACCCTTGTCACTTTCCTCTGGACATCCTCTCTTTTTTTAGCCTCGCTCACAGGGAATGGCACCCTGAATCAGATGCCCCTGCTCCCAGTATGGTCTTGGAGACCATGGCCTCGGGCGAGTAGAAGGGTGAATGCCCCGAGTGCACCTTGAGCTTACTGCATCTGTTCTGGTTTCTCATGGCAATGTTGGCTTGTGTTCACTTTGTAGATCACCAAAACCACCAGGCGGCCAACTCTCCTCCCCACTGTCCTCAGGTATTGGCATTTTACATCTCAGTGCTAGAAATTTCAATGGATTCCTGTTAGATTTCTCTTCATCATCTGCACCATTATTCCATCCTTTGAGCTCTTCCTTACCTTGATTCTGTCACCTCTGAGGTTATTGATATTTCCCAGTCATGTATTATGAATAAACTAGAGACCCAGTGCACAAAATTCATGCGTGGGTACGGTCCCCGGGCCTGACCTGTGATCAGGGCCATCTTCTCCAGCTGCCCGCAGCTGACCCCATCCCCTGCCGCCACTCACCTCCGGTTCCCTGTTTGCCATCAGCTGATTGGAGCCTGCTGGCTGGGGGGAGGGACTGAGAGGTGGTCATGTGCCTCATAGTGACTGGTCGAGCAGTCATTCTGGTCGTTCTGCCGTTAGGGTCAATTTGCATATTATCCTTTTATTATATAGGAGTAGATAATCATATCTTGTATGTTACTGAGAAAAAATGTGGAACTCAACAGTTTCAAAGACAAAACCCAGCAACACTCTTTCCAGGAAGATTAGTCACACAGTCTGTCAAGCTTCCACTTGCAACTCTGTACACTCATTCATTCCACAAACTTTAGGGAGTGCCTTCTTCCAGGCTGGATGCTGAGATGAAGAAATGAAACCACCTGAGTTCGGAAAGACAGATGTGTTGACATACAACATGCACGAGTGTAGAGAGGCCACAGGAGGGAGTGCAAGCCATGCAACCTGGGAGAAGCAGGTAGAACTTCAAGGGGCATCCAACACAAAGATCTAATGAGGAACTTTATCAAGGATTTTGCTGAAGCTGCTATGAACTAATTCAATAGATTAGACATTTCTCCAATGTTCCAAACTTGGAATCACTTTCAAATTTAGAAGTGAAGTTATTTACCAGGACTTGGTCCTTGTGTGGGATCCTACGGGCCACCTGTCTTTGCACCTCTGAGAAATGCATTCAAAGTCCCCTTTAGGTCTCTCCTGAAGTTGAACAATCAGCACAGATGGTTCTGATCATCTCCCAACATCATGAAGGACCTCTGGTTTCCTGGTTACCAGCCAACTCTGCCTGAGGCCACTTTTCTGACCCTGAGATTCATGGAAGGTAGAGTCATATTTACAGGTCACCCAAGCCCCACAGCAGCTTCTCTCCTTCTTTTTCTCTCCCTGTCCTTCCGAGGTGCCTCCTCAGAAGCCAAGAGGAGGTCTGGAAGCCTCTGCCGCTACGGGGAGGGAGACAGATGCAGCCTCCACACCGCAGTGGCGGCCTTTGTCACATAACACAGTGCTGCTTATTGTACGCATCCCTGTGAGTCCGTGAGCTTCGGGATTTTCTCATAGAATCCAACATGTTCCTCGTGCAATATGTACATAGTATTGCCAGCTTTGTAAGTTTCTTTTCCAAATTTTAATTTATTATTGCACTGTGTGTGTGTGTGTGTGTGTGTGTGTGTATCTGCTAACTGCAAAACCATGCATTAGCTATGGGGAACGCAGAGGTAGAGATGATGATGAACAAGAACTGGCCCCAGCCGTAAAAGGAACTGATGGTCCAATGGGGAAGGCAGATCTGCATGTGTATAGCACGGGGAAGTGGCTGTTCCGGTTTCTTTCTGATGGACAAGCATTTTGCAAAGATGAGCTATGTGAACGTAAGGCTGGAACAGGCATTTCTCACGGCTTTCAACACGTCACTGCATTGGTGGGGGGTGAAGGGGGAGGAGGAAGAGCATAAAAATGGTTATCATCACCTCCCATATGACAAAAACTAATTATTTGTCATGTTTTAGCTGCGTTTGTGCTAAAACCTCACAATCCCTGAGACCTGCCACTTCAGGTGAATTCCACACATTCGCACTTGAGTCTGCAAAAGATTCCCAGTTACCTGGCAACGGGACCAAAGGGCCCGTCACTTTCCTGAAATAAAAGAGAAAAAAAGATTTATCTTGTTTTGGTAGCATTCCTTTACTTTCATTCAAGAACACCATTTCAGAAAGCTGATGTCTGTGGTAAAAAAAACATACCCCAAAAACCAAAAAACAACCCCCCTATTTCTATAAATTAAAAAAAAGACCAAGAAGTTGTGCTGTCTCCCTTTTAAAAAAATGCACTCATCAAAAAGACAGAACTTTTTCTTGTAAGAGGAACTTTAGCCTCTGTTTTAGAATCACAAATATCTCTTCTTCATGGAGAAAAATCAGTTCACAGGACGGGTGGCGCTTTAGCTGCTCCCAAAACTGGGTTCCA